AAGTCTATTTCGTAAAGTGCATTCTATAAAGTCCATTTTTAAGATGAACTTTTACTTTGAGAAGTTACGCTAAACACAGCCTATGTATGGATGAATAGTCAATCAATCAAATCCATATACATATAGTGCACATGTATGCTAACAAATACAAGTGTATACAATAAACAACAAAGAACACAAACAATTTGTTGACATAGAAAACCCTCCTCGAAAAAAACTACGGGAACCTTATTTTGTACCATGGTTAGATGCTCATTTACTTGAACCTCCATGTCGTACGATTCGTCTAAGCCGCAAGTGATTATGGGCACAATCCTCGATATGCACATACCAATGAGTTTGTCAACCAACAAGTTCTTCAACATCAATTTGTGAGGTTGGGTAAAATCATTAATAGTAGCCTTTAATTCTTAGGGATCTAGGTTGTGGTAAACACTCTCAAGGTTGAAGGATAGTTTTCTTTTTTCAAAATCATAGTTTTCTCTCTTCAAAATCTTAAAAGAGGCTTAACCTAGATGTGGGAAAAGCTCTCCCTATTTATAGGTCTGAAATAAGGGTAGTCTTAGTAAAGAAGAAAATTCAGATTCATGAACAAACGCTCGATGGTAAAAGGCTCGAGCAACTCCTGTGCTGCCTTTTGTAGCCTTTTACCATTTTCTTCCCTAAGCTATAAAGAGATCGTTTTAGCGNAATAGTAGCCTTTAATTCTTAGGGATCTAGGTTGTGGTAAACACTCTCAAGGTTGAAGGATAGTTTTCTTTTTTCAAAATCATAGTTTTCTCTCTTCAAAATCTTAAAAGAGGCTTAACCTAGATGTGGGAAAAGCTCTCCCTATTTATAGGTCTGAAATAAGGGTAGTCTTAGTAAAGAAGAAAATTCAGATTCATGAACGAACGCTCGATGGTAAAAGGCTCGAGCAACTCCAGTGCTGCCTTCTGTAGCCTTTTACCATTTTCTTCCCTAAGCTATAAAGAGATCGTTTTAGCGTAAGCTAGCGAGCATAGATCGCTCCCTACAAGTTTTTAAGCTTAAAACCGGGCAAAAAATTATCCAATTGAGCACTAAAGGACGTTGCTCAAAGAAGAGTCTGACTGTGACTCAAACTATGTTTTCAAAACAGATAAATAGTTTAGAAAACTTTTCTTTTAAAATCACCTCGAGTCATAATCAAATCACTTTCAATTCCATTTTCATCCTAATCAACCTAAGTTAAATTAACTAAGGGTTCATCTTAGGTGTCTAAGTCATTACTTTTATCCTAAGCATGAAGGTACATACGGAGGTTGAATGATGTAACTTTGACACTTGAATTCCTCTCTTTAACGATGCTTGTAGATCTTGAACTTAATAGCATCATGACCATAGAATAGGTTGAGATTTTACAATAGACTCCACGAAATTAGCCAATTATANAAGCATGAAGGTACATACGGAGGTTGAATGATGTAACTTTGACACTTGAATTCCTCCCTTTAACGATGCTTGTAAATCTTGAACTTAATAGCATCATGACCATAGAATAGGTTGAGATTTTACAATAGACTCCACGAAATTAGCCAATTATAAATATGATCTAACAAATTGCGTGATATTCTTACCAAACCATTAACTCGGTCGGCCTTCAGTAGTTTATCTTCTAAGCTGAGCATTTTTTATCTTTTTATTCCGGGCTTCAAACTTTAGGGGGTCTTAGAGTTCTTACTTTCTGTATTAGATATAAATTAATTAGTATAAGGTATTACTCTAGTATAAATAAGAGTATAGGGCAACACCGCTTACACCAAATTAATCTTCTCCTCACCTTCTTTTCTCTTTTTTTCTTCTTCTACATAAACCCTAATATCAATTTCACTAATTTAACTTACCCCAATGCACAAAATTTACTCATTTTTTCCTTGAAACCATGGTAGCTGACTTATACTTGCCACATCACATGCCATGGGTCCCACTTCTCAACTTAAACCTTAATTATTATTTACTTTATGAAAATGATATCCAAGGAGGTAGGACCAAAGTCATAAGAATAGAAAAGATTGTAGGATGCATTCAAGGAAATAGATTTGAAGTGTTTGGCTGCTGATATTACAAACAAGCATAGTTATCAAGTCGTGTATCGGAAGGCGTATCGTTTTTTAAAAATAGTGTATCATATCGTGTATCGTAAGATACGGTGTAATTTTAAATAATTAATAATAAAATAAATGTTTACAAATTTTAGGGTGTCTAGATATAATTTATTAACGGATATATTTACAGTAGGAGTCTAAATGTTACGTGTGTATAAATTTTAGGGGGTCTTTGTATAATATTTTAAATGTTAGGGGGTCTGTGTATAATATGTCAAATGTCAGGGGTCTAAGTGATTAAGTAACAAACCTTAAGAAGTCTAAGTGTAATTTTTCCTATAACTTAACAGAGATTACCTGCCACTCTGCCCGATCAGAAAAGAAAAAAAAAAAGACAAGACGCTGAGAGAGAGGGAAAGATCGCGCGTATCGTATTAATACGTACCATATCGTAAAAACGTATCGTGTATCGGACGATACAACGCAAAAACGATACAGAACTACGATCCGTATCGTTTTACTCCAGTATCGCGACGTATCGCGTATCGTACGATACTAACAACTATGTAAACAAGAATATGACATGAAGATCAAACACACTTGGAGGCCCAAGTGAGACAAGTTGACCTACTAAAACCATGAAAGATGACCCGTTATACATTAGTCCACTGCACAAAAGACCAACATAAGCCCATCTTTACAACACAAGAGCAGAATACGTCGCACACTAAATCTTAACTATTTCCTATTCAAGCCTCTTGCTATATCAAAACATAAAAAGATGTCAAATAACTTCAAGAAATCATCTACTTTTGTTGGTTCGGCCTTGAAATTAGCCAAATCTTTGCATTTGTCCTTTAAATTTCTTCTTTCTTAGACCACTTTAGACTACATCACCAACACATACAGTTATTAGATGGCAATCTCATAACTATAGAGACAAAGGAAGCGCCAACCAAAAAAATTAAACTATATATGAAAATTTGTAAAAATTAAGAGCTTAGGACAATATTCGAGGTAGTAATTTATTAGTTAAAATATAGGGAAAAATAAACTTCAACGAAATAAAAGGCATATTTTCATTCACAAATAAGTTGAATTATACTATAATTCATGAAAACAAAAAAAACATCACACATAAAAAAAATTATGCATTATACAACACTAGCACAGAGCTTCGAATATGTGAGTGTAAAGTTTTACTCTCTCTCCATACATTCTGTAGAGACACATGCAATATATCCTGTGCTCTACCTTTTAATTATCATGTACAAAGTACAAAAAACCACAGAAGTTAAAAATGAGCATCCAAAATAATTATTTTGATATTGAAATCACTGGTATCCCAACTACAAAAGTGCTTTGGATATTGTATCTATTTAATTTAACATTCGACGATGTTCTCCTACATACACTAAACCCACAGCAACAAAAACCATTCTGGACTTGGCTGCATACTCAGTATAATGATCCCAGTCTAAGGGATCACTCCATACACTCACATAAGGGACTGCAAGTATGCAAATTATCTTTTTGATGCCAGCAAGCAAAGCACGCAGAAAAGTCTAGCCATTCAAAAGATACAAACACTTTCATAAAGATGATCTAAAAAATCTCAATTGGAATGTTTATGCTGAAGATAAGGTCCCAGGAAGATGGTATCAATTGATCACATTATTGTCTATCCCAATCCCTATGAGTTACAGACAAGGATCAAAATATCGTTTTGGTGTATTGTTTCGGTCACCTAAGAAATAGAAACGTTTCAANCCCAATCCCTATGAGTTACAGACAAGGATCAAAATATCGTTTTGGTGTATTGTTTCAGTCACCTAAGAAATGGAAACGTTTCGACATGTTTCAGAAACGTTTCGACCCGTTTCAGAAACATAATGAAAAAAATAAAAAATTTAAGAATTATTTTTCTAGAACATTGATGGAAATATATTAAAATATCTTGAAATACCTTAAAACATTCCAAAACAATTGTGCAAATACATTAAAATATTATAATACATTTAAAAACATTATGGAATACTTCGAAATATCAAAATTTGGATTTCATCACTGTTTCGTTTCAATCTCCTTGAAAACGGAAATGTTTCGAACGTTTCGATTGTATCGAAACGATATTTTGATCCTTGGTTACGGGGTGCACATTATCTCAGTTCTAAGTTGGTGGGATTTGTTGTTATTTTTTTGTGACACGATGATTATTCCATGCACAAGTTTCAATCTCATCATATTTGCACGATGGTCAGTCCGTGTACATTTTTCCCACCTTGTCATTCAGGGGAACTTCTATCCAGGCAATCGCAATCTTGACAGGGCAATTTCGTCGCACTTGGAAAATTCGCACGGGATCATTCTGTTCAATTTCAATTGCCGCAATCCCAACAATTTCAACAAAATCGCAATCACACTTCACTTTCACATTTTTGTGCCCACCTCAAAAGCGAGTGTTGAATGTAAGACCCCACAATGATGGAATTAATTTATTAGGTTCTTGTTTATCTCAATCCCTAAGTGATGTTTGTGATCTCATAACCTGAGTTGGTGGGGTTTGTTTCTATTTCACCATGTATAAATGGGTGTTACTCATGTTGCAGACTTCTGAGAATCAATAATAAAGGATGCAGCCCATCTGGATATTTGTTCCGGCACGTGTTTCCTCTATTTTTCTTATCTAAAATTCATCAGTTTACAATCACAATATGAAAAACTTTAATCTCTATGAATATTATGCGTAGAAACCAAACGCATGAAATGAGGTGCCCATGTAAACTGGTATAACGAACCTTTACTATTTAGATATGAATCTCACACTCTCACTTGTCTATAAAGCAACAGATGAAAAGGACTTACCACATAAAAATCTAGCCAGAACAACAAACAGCTCCAAAATAGGTTATCCAAGCAAAATTATAACTCAATCTAAAGGTGGCCTAACTCAACGACATCACCTGCATGCTTCCCTAGAGCAAGGACATGAGTTGTGTAAGGAATAAGAAGACATGAACCAACCTGTATGCAGACAATGGCAGTTACTCTAGCCCTAGCGCAGTAATCATTGTAACCATCTTTCGATGAACCATCACTGTCGCTGTAATCGGAATCAGATGACATATGATCAACTGCCGAAAATTCATTATCAAGAAAACTCAAGGATTTGTGGTCTTTTAGTAACAGGGTTTTCCGGTAATTTTTCCTCAAGTGTGGTGGCCTATATGGACCAACATCTAATTTTCTAGCTTCTTCAAAATTCACATTACGCCGTTTAAGTTCCTCATCATGACCAGCCACCGGATACCCAATTTGGGATTTATTAGTAAGGCCATAATTAAAAAACATCTTCAGTGCTGCTACAAACCCAGCCACCTAAAAAATCACAAAATATGAAAAGTGTAAACAATGGCACGAGATAATTAATTGAATGATAGGATAGACACAAGAACCACATTTTCAATCCTGAATAGATTGCAATTTATGTGTTTTTTTAAAGGGAATACAGCTCGTTTGCTTACATGGTCTGAAAGGGGTCCCTTGGGTTCTAAAAGAACCAAGTGCAAGCATTGCAGAAGCGAGGAATAAAACCTGTAGAACACATGAAGCATAAAATCATTGAATGACCACTTCACGATGGCTGTATCTATAAGAAATTGTTAACAGGAGGAGAAAACAAAGAGAGAAACCTTGACATAACATTGTCTTCAACAAGCTGTGCCTTAGATGCCAAGGCATCCATAATCCTTTTAAGAATCTATTCACAGCAAGAAAACCTATGTCAGCATTTTAAGTAGATATAGTCAACAGAGGATACAAATTTGCGCACCTCAAATGTTGATTGCCAGATGTCAACTGGTGTTGGAGACCCAACCCTTGATAACACTTCACCAATCATTGTGAAGGCAGTTGTCTGAACATCCCATAAACCATAGCATCCAGGTATGTTCTTTCCAAATTCAGTAGCACACCACTGACTGCCACTTGACCAAGATGAGTAAACTAACTCGGATTGAGAGCATCCCACGATGCTAAAAAGGAAATTTAATAGCTGTTTATTTTCCGATAGCGAACTTCTTTTCTGGTACACACTCAAAAGGCACCTAAAAAGGAGTGGTGAATGATGAGCCTCAGAGGATATTTAACAAATAGATGTTGGGTCTAAAGACAAGTGGCAACAAATAATTGTGAAACGATGACCACTCTGAAAACCAAGGTTGGCACTAGGGGTGCATCTCAGGTGGGTTAACCTACGCCCACCCCAAGTTATAAAACCTTCAACCCTAACCCAACCCAAGCCCAACTTCCAACCCAAGTACTACTCAAGTTAATTTTTTTAAATGGGTTGAAATCAGGCTAACCAAGTTGGGTTCACTTTCAGGCTCGTAATTCAGATTTGTCGTACGGCCTAAAAACCCATGTTATTTACAGCAAAAACCAACATCAAAATATCCAATAAGAAATTAAACTAATACATCTATAGCTTAAACAGTAATAATACCATTCTCAGCAACAATCCAAATAAAAAACATTACTTGATAACTGACATTGATCTATTGATGTTCACTTCGAACCTATATGCTCTTGCAGTGAGAGATGAGAGATGAGAGATGAGGGATGAACGAGAGATGAGAGATGAATGAACGAACAGAGGGCCTTTAAATAATAGTGTCGGTGAGTNTTGATCTATTGATGTTCACTTCGAACCTATATGCTCTTGCAGTGAGAGATGAGAGACGAGAGATGAGGGATGAACGAGAGATGAGAGATGAATGAACGAACAGAGGGCCTTTAAATAATAGTGTCGGTGAGTTGCTTACCACCGTCGGTGAGGAACAGTTGACTGGGAGACTTGGGACTACACAGAGGGAGCCAAGGAGTGGGGAAAGTAGCGGTGCAAATGAGAAAATTAGGTTGAGCCCGAGTTCTAAAGTTGTATTGAGCCCGAGTTCTAAAATTCAGTCTAGGTTCGGGTTGAAACCATGAACCTGAAGCCTCAATCCAAGTACGACACGAATTAAATTTGGATTGAAGTTTTTTGGCTCAAGCCCAAGACTAAAATTCCATTTTGAAATGTTGATATAATCAAAATGTTTCCGTTTCTAAGAAGGCCAAAACGAATCAGTGATGGAATTAAAATTCTAATACTTCGAGGTGTTTCGTAATGTTATGACACATTTACACAACTGTTTCGGAATGTTTCAAGATGTTTTGGCATATTTTGACCAATGCTTTGAAAAAATAATTCTCAAATTTTTTATTTTTATACATTCTGTTTTCGAAACAGGTTGAAAATTTTTCAAAACAAGTCGAAACATTTTTTTTTCCTAGGTGGCCGAAACAAAATTTTGATCCATGCCCAAGTTGGCACAAGCCTACTCTTTGGTAATACATATTAATTGATATTCATAGCACAGACAAAATAACCCACAAAAATGTTTAAACATACTAAAAGAATGATGCATTGCACAACTTAAACATGAAAAGTACAAAAAAAAAAAAAGAAAGAAGAAGTACAGAAGACCAAAACCTTATAGTATCCACAGATTGTTTTATGGCTCTGACTACAGAAACATTCCATGAAACAAAACTCTTTGTACCACCTTTGCAACTAAAAATTTTCACCATCTTTCCAAAAGAGTCGAGCACAAGAGCCCAAGATGATGAATTCATTTCAAAGGAAACGCAATTGCTGACATTGTGGACCTGCAACAAATAAGTAAAATTATCAAACACAAGAACAAGAGCGCATACGACATGAAAATAGTATAGAGCCTCAACTATTGTGCTACATGTGTTAGTAAAAATCTTCGCTGCTTTATCCTTTAGTTGTTCACATTAGTTTATGTATTTGTTTCTCCTTCCCTTACAAATTTCTAGGAAGAAGCTCAAATGATATGATTTGTTGTCATTAAAAAACTACAATGAAATGTTGATGCGGGGAAAATACAAAACTTCACGAGGAATCGCACGCTAGACCTAGAGGGGGTATGAATAGGCTAATTTAATATTAACCTCAAATGACCTCCAATTTTAACCTATATCTACCACAATTATCTCTTCTCACAAAGATATGACAATTTAATTGAGAACTCCTTTTACCATGAACAACCCATTAAAAGTATGAATGAATGAATATGCAACCAACACCAACCAATCCACAATCCCAACTAAAGTCACAATAATCAAAACCATTATTAATGACTTCAAAGATAAACAATCAATTCATCAAATATATGGAGTGTTTGTGTACAAACAAATTAAAGCAATGAAGAACACAAGAGTCTCAGAATGCACACTTCTCTTAGAGGGTTTTGGTTTGCACTAAGTCAGATCTTCTTCAATGTGTGAGGTTGAATAGAAGAATCAAAAATGGTTGGTCTTTGGTGTTAGGGATCTAGGGTTATTCTTGAAGCACTCTAAAATGATTTTTGGTCTATTCTAACTCATAGAGGCTTACCCTAAGTTTAGGACATAGTCCCACATATATAGAACACAAAATAGGATTTGTCTTAGGGATCAAGAAAACACAGATTCACGTCATTCTAGACCTCCAAGTGGCAAACCAATCTACAGACCGCTCGAGCGGTGGTAGGGCATCCATTAACACTGGTTTCTCCAGTTTTGTCTCCCTAAGCGTTTCAAAAATCGCTCTACCTAAGGCTAGCGAACATAGAGCGATTCTTACTATTTTTTAAATTACAAACCAAATAAAAACTTGACTTATTGACCATTAAAGGGTGTTGCTCAAATAGGATCCGATAAATGACTCAAACTATCTTTTTAAAATATATTTAAGATTTAGAAAATATTTTTAACAAAAAACCATAAGAGTAATTTTTAAGATTGAAATGCACCAATGTGGTCTTAATGTAGTAGTATAGCTTGATCTTCTTCCCTTCCCTTGTCACTTACGGATCTTGATCTTTGAAGCTTGATGACCATGAAATTTGGTTGAAATTTACATGGACTTCACAAAATTAGGCAATTACAAATACATGATCTAAGAGTTGATTCCCTTCTTGACTGCATTGAACTAAACCAAACACTAAAATTGGAATTCGCCTTATTTCCCTAACATGATTCGTAGTCTACTCAAGCATTTCAAGGAGACCACTTAGGCTTCTTATACTCCGGGATCTAATTAATGGTAATGAGATGTTCATTGCTGCATTATATTTGTTCTTTTTCTTTTCTTGACAATTTTATTAATGTTAAGATATTACAAAGATTAGATTTTTCACACTACAACCGGAATGTATTAAAAGTATAGCAATGTGTTTCTTCCGTTAGCTTCAATTACTCATTTTGTCAATGTCAATTGGGCAATTTTTAATAGAATAAAAGACATAAGCTAATAGAAGAGCACATTACAACATTTTTAATACATTAAAGGTGAAATGTGAAAAATCTAATATTTAGGAGCATAGTTGTCAAATCGCGTACCGGAAGGCATATCATTTTTCAAAAATAGTGTATCATATCGTAAGATACGCGTATCTTACAATATGATACTCATAATAACATAGCATTTCATTAATATTCTATCAACTATTCAAGTTTCCAACATAGTTCAGTAATATCAAAATGCAAAAGCCTCTAATTCAAACTACTAACATCAAGTGCTTGAACAATCTTAATATTAATCAAGAATTTTGAATTCAATTGAACTTTATTTTTTTATTTTTTAACCATAACCAATGAAACAACGTTGTTTCACCGGCTAATAATTTAAAAATAAGCCCTAGGATAAAATGATGTCATTTTAGTCCCAAAAAATAAAAAAAAAAAAAAAATAGAATCTTCACGCATCGTACATATCTAAGGATACGTATCGTATTGTGTATTGTACGATACGGTGCAAAAATAATACACAAACACGATCCGTATCGTTTTTCTGGTGGATCGTACGATACGTATCGCTTTTCTGGTGGATCGTACGATACGTATCGCGTATCGTACGATACTAATAACTATGTTTGAGAGTGCAAAATCTTAAATTTTTAGGGTGCAAAGTGCAATTCCCCCTACAAAGAACAAAAGAGAGCTAGACAAGATGTCCAACACCAAATCAGCTTAAGAAAAGAGTGACATTAACATTGGGCTCAAGTGTGTGTCGATTGATACAATTAATTTTAGTTTTTATTAGCCCTATAGCTTTTCTATTTATCCTGTGGAGGGCAATTCTTGTCCTCAAATATATTTCTTATATTTTTGTATAAATAAAATTTTCTTGTTTCCAATCAAAAAAAATTAAGATTATCATGCAATAGTTTTACAATATAAAAATTTAGTCGAGAACAATTGTAAAGGTAAAGTTTCTTAATTATGACTTAGGATTCAAAGTTTCAAATGGAGGAAACATCCTCCCACGTGGCAGTTAGGCAGTGTAGATCTGACCCTCTTAGATTGAAGAGCCGGAGCCCATGCACTGGGTCACCTTTTTTTTACTCATTATTAGTTCAAACTTTTTAATCTCACTATTGGTAAAAGACTAATGCTATTGAGATCTAATTTTGGGACTTAATTTATGATCTAATGTATTGTCCTTATTTTGAGATCTAATTTTGGCAATCTCAACATTGGATGCAGTCTATTTGCTAATTCAACAGTAGCAATATATTAGATCTCTAAATTAGATCTCCAAATTAAGTACATATAGCAATTATTGTATTAAAATTAGCATCCACTATAGCAAATTTCTGGCTCCACCCCCACAGCCTAATTAATGAATAAAAATAGTCGAACAACAAAGAGATAGAGCAAGTATTACCAAGTGGGATAGCAGGGTAAAGGTATTAATCAAATCATCAGGCCCTCCAGAATCGAGAATAGTCCGAGCTAATTCCATCAGAAACATCACGTCTGACGTGACCTAAAATCCACAGAGACCCACATTCAAATACCTGATACGAATGCATCAACCACGCAATTGCACGCAAGAAATAGAACTTTAGACTCGCATTTCAAGGGCTATTGGAAAATTTTGTCACCTCGTGAGAAGGTAGGTCAGAGGCAGCGGCGATCAAAGAGTCGGATTGGGAGAAAATGAGATGGTGAAGGAGGTGGACCACCACAGTCTGAGGTGGTGAGGTTAGGGTTTCGTCCCTCAAAGTAAGAAACGCCGTCCTCCATGACCTAATCGACGATGAGGATAAGGATGGCAATGACGGTGGCGATGGCGATGCTGCCATACCTACACGTTCAATCAATCAGATCAATTTCACCGACAACGACAGCGCACCATCGTCATCCCGAGTTTTTGCAGTACAGTGCAGAGGCGCCGAGCGAGAGGTGTTGAGGTTGAGTGGGGTGTTTTGAAAAGAACCAGGGCAAATATATTTTTAGTTATTAAAGTATAGATGTAGTGTTTATTTGGTCCATAATATTTTATGTCACATATTTACAATCTAGTTATATACAATGCCTAAAAAAAACACGATATCTAAAATGATTAGGCATTCAAGAAAGAACCAAAATGGACTCTTTTTCTAAGAGGGAAGGAGTTAGAATTGAGAGGATTAGACGAAGAGGAGAGACAACTACTATTGAAAAAAGAGAATCGTACTCTTTGCAGTCTCCCATTCCCTCCACTTTCAAATAGTTCTTTTTTCAGTAAATTGAATGTCTAACCCTTAGCCAATAAGGCTCCTATAGTTTTGAAGCTGGATCTCGAAACTAAGGAAAGTAATTATTACAAAAGGCTAAAGAGGCTGAACCCCCAACTTCAAAACTACAGAATAAACCATCATTGATTGTGCATCTTCAAGATGTAAAGAAAGACCTGAACTCATATGAGTGGAAGTACTTTCAGAGCTTGACTNTTTTGAAGCTGGATCTCGAAACTAAGGAAAGTAATTATTACAAAAGGCTAAAGAGGTTGAACCCCCAACTTCAAAACTACAGAATAAACTATCATTGATTGTGCATCTTCAAGATGTAAAGAAAGACCTGAACTCATATGAGTGGAAGTACTTTCAGAGCTTGATTNAAGAACCAGGGCAAATATATTTTTAGTTATTAAAGTATAGATGTAGTGTTTATTTGATCCATAATATTTTNAAGAACCAGGGCAAATATATTTTTAGTTATTAAAGTATAGATGTAGTGTTTATTTGGTCCATAATATTTTATGTCACATATTTACAATCTAGTTATATACAATGCCTAAAAAAAACACGATATCTAAAATGATTAGGCATTCAAGAAAGAACCAAAATGGACTCTTTTTCTAAGAGGGAAGGAGTTAGAATTGAGAGGATTAGATGAAGAGGAGAGACAACTACTATTGAAAAAAGAGAATCGTACTTTGCAGTCTCTCATTCCCTCCACTTTCAAATNGAGAGGATTAGACGAAGAGGAGAGACAACTACTATTGAAAAAAGAGAATCGTACTCTTTGCAGTCTCCCATTCCCTCCACTTTCAATTAGTTCTTTTTTCAGTAAATTGAATGTCTAACCCTTAGCCAATAAGGCTCCTATAGTTTTGAAGCTGGATCTCGAAACTAAGGAAAGTAATTATTACAAAAGGCTAAAGAGGTTGAACCCCCAACTTCAAAACTACAGAATAAACTATCATTGATTGTGCATCTTCAAGATGTAAAGAAAGACCTGAACTCATATGAGTGGAAGTACTTTCAGAGCTTGATTAGGAACAGCTTATCGATATTCAAAAAGATTGGTATTATACTACATAAGTTCATTCCTTAAATGGAATAGATAGAGACAACAGAAGTCGATCGATGAAAGTCGAAACTGTCACATTATGACAGCCCAAAAACATAGTATAGATGACATTGGATTCATTCATTCCTATATCTTTCAATCAGTCTCAAGCATTGACTAGAAAGGGGGGTCATAGCATCATTGCTTGAAATAGTTCCTCTTCTTTGGCCCTGGCCTAGTAGCTTGAGTCGGGCATGCCCTTGCTTTTATTCTTTCTCGTCCACGAAGTTGGGTCCTTGAAAGACTTATTCCCTTCCTGAACATCAGTCTTCAATTGCTTGTACAATAACTCTGCCTGTAACAGTNGGTCATAGCATCATTGCTTGAAATAGTTCCTCTTCTTTGGCCCTGGCCTAGTAGCTTGAGTCGGGCATGCCCTTGCTTTTATTCTTTCTCGTCCACGAAGTTGGGTCCTTGAAAGACTTATTCCCTTCCCGAACATCAGTCTTCAATTGCTTGTACAATAACTCTGCCTGTAACAGTCAAGGCTTGGCTTGCGAAGTGAGCCAATTGAAGTAGAATTAGTAAATGAAAATAAGAGTGTTACGGGCCCCTTGAGTTATTTTTACCTCAAAATAGTCAAAGCCTTAAAATAACAGAGAAAAAGGGGAGCACATTTCCACTTTGTTGTAAAGAAAAAGGGCTAGCCTAACATGCTGAAATTAGCTTTAGGTCATAAAGGGAATAATATAACTTTTAGTCATAGCTGTAGTAGCTGCACTAGGAGGAGCAATAGGTGTTGGCATTGGCGAGCTGTCATTCCTTCTTGTAATAAGTAAAGAATTCATGTCATCCCTTCCCTCTATACTTTAAAGTTCAGTTTATCCGTCTATTCTTCTTGCTCGAGGAACGATTATATCCTCAACCCAGATAATAAAGAGACAAGTTTGACCTATCTATTCTATTATGGCTAGCCTGTTGGAGAGAGCGGTAGCGAAAGGACTCCCCTTCATCTATAAAGGAGAGATTGAGAGAATAGGGGCGGTAAGCATTTGCAGTAGTAGGTAGTCTCCTAAGGGGTTTTAGGTGGGCTAGGCTGCTAAAGGGGGATTATTTTTGTTAGAGTTATTGGTTGTTCTTCCCCATGGACTGGGCTGTTAGCAGGACTTGTTAGCACTTTCAGGCTTCCTCTTGTTGCTAAAAAAGTCGTTTCTTACACCTAAAAGCCTACAAGAAACAAGCGAGAATAGATACTAGTAAGACAACTCCCAAGTCGATAAGACTAAAGCAACTAGTCATAAAGATGATATTAGTATAACTATTAGTACAGTTGATTAAGGAGGTCACTGATGTAAGGAAGCTATAATNAGAGTGTTACGGGCCCCTTGAGTTATTTTTACCTCAAAATAGTCAAAGCCTTAAAATAACAGAGAAAAAGGGGAGCACATTTCCACTTTGTTGTAAAGAAAAAGGGCTAGCCTAACATGCTGAAATTAGCTTTAGGTCATAAAGGGAATAATATAACTTTTAGTCATAGCTGTAGTAGCTGCACTAGGAGGAGCAATAGGTGTTGGCATTGGCGAGCTGTCATTCCTTCTTGTAATAAGTAAAGAATTCATGTCATCCCTTCCCTCTATACTTTAAAGTTCAGTTTATCCGTCTATTCTTCTTGCTCGAGGAACGATTATATCCTCAACCCAGATAATAAAGAGACAAGTTTGACCTATCTATTCTATTATGGCTAGCCTGTTGGAGAGAGCGGTAGCGAAAGGACTCCCCTTCATCTATAAAGGAGAGATTGAGAGAATAGGGGCGGTAAGCATTTGCAGTAGTAGGTATTCTCCTAAGGGGTTTTAGGTGGGCTAGGCTGCTAAAGGGGGATTATTTTTGTTAGAGTTATTGGTTGTTCTTCCCCATGGACTGGGCTGTTAGCAGGACTTGTTAGCACTTTCAGGCTTCCTCTTGTTGCTAAAAAAGTCGTTTCTTACACCTAAAAGCCTACAAGAAACAAGCGAGAATAGATACTAGTAAGACAACTCCTAAGTCGATAAGACTAAAGCAACTAGTCATAAAGATGATATTAGTATAACTATTAGTACAGTTGATTAAGGAAGTCACTGATGTAAGGAAGCTATAGTNAAAGATGATATTAGTATAACTATTAGTACAGTTGATTAAGGAGGTCACTGATGTAAGGAAGCTATAATGGCTAGTCTATATGGCTAGGCTAGTAGGAAAGGGAAGCGGAAAGAGACAAGTAAAGAAGGTTTGTCTAACCAGATAGTCAAACAAGACAGTAAGTATGGCAGAACTAGTAAGACGGAAAAGAAGAGGAAGAAGGTCACTATTCATAAAGCCAAGTAAGAAAGGTCTTTAGTTAAAGTAGTCTTCCAGCCAGTAGTACCAGTAGTCAGAAAGTCGAAAGTCACCTTTTTAGTAACTTGGGAGAGGTATTGTCAACTATTAGCCAAGTAAGAGAGGAAATGACATATCTTTCTTACCGGCTGGCTAACTAGACAACTAGTTAATAGAAAAGGCGTTCTCCCTTTTCTTTGCTAGCTTTATGAAATCTTTTCCTCTTCAACACTGAACAATACTACTATAAGGTAGAGAATTAAGAATATATATACATATATATATATATATACATATATATATATATTTCTAGTAGGAAGTTTGATTTTCAAAAATGGCATATATATAGTGCTCCACNAGGTAGAGAATTAAGAATATATATACATATATATATATATATACATATATATATATTTCTAGTAGGAAGTTTGATTTTCAAAAATGGCATATATATAGTGCTCCACTAGTCTGGTTTTCACATTAGCATTCCTGAGCTGTACGGACCTTAAGAAAAAAGGCTTCAAACCAAGGGAAAGACTGTTTTCACATGCCACAGTTAGGACTTTGAAGTATGATACTGATTGTTCACTTTCCCAAAAATTGACTCCGTATAATCTGTACTAGAGTGGTTCATTGNATTAGCATTCCTGAGCTGTACGGACCTTAAGAAAAAAGGCTTCAAACCAAGGGAAAAACTGTTTTCACATGCCACAGTTAGGACTTTGAAGTATGATACTGATTGTTCACTTTCTCAAAAATTGACTCCGTATAATCTGTACTAGAGTGGTTCATTGTCAAAAGAACATATTTACAATTCTAGGGGTTGTAGCATATCCTATTGATTTGTCTAGGGGGCTTTCTCGTTTAAAGGCAGGGGTGAGCTTTCTCACTATACAATGACCACTACAAACGAAGGACCAACGAGGATGAAGTAGGAGAAGGAGGAGGAGTAGGAGCTAGCTTTAATTGAAGTAGATGCAGAATCGAAACGAAGAAATTCTCAGTTCATGCCATGACGATCTATATGGAATGACAGTTTTGTTGATGCATTCCTATTGAGAATGAAGAAGAAGAGAGATCCTCTTCTGAACAAAAAAAATTTCTCATGTAGATCTTCTATTTCGCCGAAATTCATTGATTGTTCCATACGAATTTACAGTGGAAAAACTCCTGT